AGACCGCTGAATCTTTGAAGAGGATAAATCTGGGAGTGGATCTGGATACATAAGTTCGTTCAATTTTCAAAAACGACTTGCTGCGAATTTTTAAAGGAAATCAACACCTTGTTCAAATGTTCGAGCAACCAAATACAATTCAATTTTTGCATGTCAGGTGAGATAGTAAATTGCACAAAATTTTTTTTTTCTTTTTTGTCATGATTTGGACATGAGATTCCATACCCATCATTAGGTTTAGGAAAAGTTTCTTAACACCCTCGAAAAATTCAAATGTTATGTTGTTTCACATATTACCGGTTATTGAAAAGTCATGGGAATATCTCAGGAATATTTCCTTAGGAAGTCTCACGGCAACGCTAGGTATAGTGCATTAAGTTTCAATCTACTCTTCGAAAATCAACCAAGCGCTATTTCAGCAAGTTGAGATTTTGCCGCACCTGGCTTACAGTCCAAATGCTGCACGCTCCGATCATGGTCTTTTCCGCTCATTAGAACATTTCTTGCGTGAACGCCGATTTGTGACATTTGATCAAGTTGACAAAACATGTCAGGAGTTTCTTTTTTAACTCAAAGCCCAAAGACTCGTATTTCAAAAGAATCCGAAAGCTTGCAGATCCTTGGCAAAAGATCATGGAAAATGATGATCTGTACTTTGAATATTGTTCTTTCCGACTGAATATATATATATATATATATGTATATATGTATATATATGTATTTATGTATATACCTTCATTTCGAGTGCTTTGTTAAGACCACGCTCAAATTTCAATATATCCTTTCATTATTATTTGAGCCAACTTGTCATGTGGTCTGGTAAGGGCTCTTGTACAGCCCGATACACGTGTTTCGTCCTTACAGACTCGTCAGTCGGGCAGAACCACTATGTGTTAGGTGATAACTTCTCTAAGTGATAACTAAACACTCTGTGTCAGGTGATAACTTCACTTGACACAGAGTGTAAAACGTTCGTCTTCGATGACTCTCTATAAGGATTGCAAGGCTCTCGAGAGAACTGACTATAAAAAAGATCGAAAGACGGCGGGTTTCTGCCCGACTGACGAGTCTGTAAGGACGAAACACGTGTATCGGGCAGTACAAGAGCCCTTACCAGACCATATGACAAGTTGGCTCAAATAATAATGAAAGGATATATATATGTATATATATATATATATATTATTATATATAACAGCATTTTTTAATTGCTTAGCGACGCATGATCAAGAGCCGGGGTCGCGATCCATTCGAGCTAATGCTGTTGTCAAATGGCTTTCTTCTTACTATCTGAACGTATAAGTCAAGATTAATGCCAATTAGGCTTTGTTCTCCTGCGGCATGAATATCGTCATTGGTTTCTCTGCACACTCCACTAAGCACCTATCGCAGGGAAAGGACACGGCCAACATGGTTCTTGCGCCTAGAGAACAAAAGTAGCAGGATGGTGCTAATGGATTTGATGGACTGAATCCAAGACGAAGAAACCGCGTTCGCTTCCCTGCGGAGCATGGAGTGGTGCATAATTCGAGAATTTGCGCCAATGGCCACGAGATAAAGGCAAGCTTCGGAGAGAATCCTCGTTGGCTATGCAACATTTCCAAATGTTGATGTAGAGCAATGTGCAAAAGTTTCGCGTCAGGCGGGACTAGAACCCGCACCTCATTCTATCCGGGAATGCGTGCTCTATCCGTTACACTACTGACGCCCACTTTGTACATCGCTCTTTCTACGCTTCAGCGCACCTATCTGCCAGCCGCCAGCCGTCAACGGCCTGGCCCGGGTAGTCAGTCTCGACATTGAAAACAGTCACGCTGACAGATATTGGGTATTAAAGATCAAATGAAATTCGCTTTTATTTAACCGCTTATAGCGGTGATATGATGTTTCAAATATACGTCAGTAGTGTAACGGATAGAGCACGCATTCCCGGAAAGATTGAGGTGCGGATTCTAATCCCGCGTGACGCGAAAGTTTTGCCCACTGCTCTACATCAGTGGGTATATATTTGAAACATCATAATACTGCTAAAAGCGGTTAAATAAAAAAAGCGAATATCATCTGATCTTTAATTCCAAATGTCGTACGAACGAGGGACTCCGGGAGGGCACATTCTTTCAGGACTCTAACACGAAGTCCCGCTTGGCAGTCACCTGCCTCTATTTGTGGGCATACAAGAAGACTGCCGTTGAGTTCTGCCACACCTCACTGGGCATCGCTGCAGAGACCGTGCTCGATTGGTCCAAAGTCATGAGAGACATTTGCGCGGATAGTGTCATCAAGCGCGGAGCGGTCGTCGTCGGTGGCGAAGGGCTGACTGTGGAAGTTGACGAGTCCTTGTCTTCCAGGCGCAAGAACCACGTCGGCCGTGTCCATCCCCAGCAGTGGGTGTTTGGTGGAGTGTGCAGAGAAACCGGAGAAGTGTTTTTGTAAGAGGTTCCTGATAGTACGGCTCTGACGCTTCTAAAGGTCATCAATCGCCTCATCGTCCAGTACAACCATCATATCGGACAGTTGAAAGGTGTACAATCTGATTCAGAACCAGGAGGACGAGGTCTATGAGCATTACGCGTCAACCATCACCACCACTCCGTCGACCCAGAGAGCGGTACCCATAGTCATACGATCGACAGCACATGGAATCAAGCCAAACGATGCAAAAAGCGGCAGTGTGGGACGAGCCGCACTCTCCCCGACACTTATCTGGCAGAATGTGCTTCGCGACGCATGGTCAAAAGTTAGGGGTCGTGATTCATTCGAGGCACTTCTCAAAGACATGGCGATGTTCATGCCGCCGGAGAACAAAGCCTAATTTATATTGATTTTGACTTATACGTTCAGATAGTAATAATAAAGACATTTGACAACACCATTACCTGATTTTTTAAGTGAAACATAATGTTTAAAATGCTGTACGAATTTAAAAAGATCCCATATATATATATATATATGTTAACTTTGAATTTTTAGCAGGTGTTAAGTAACTTTTTCTTCAACATAACATTTGGATATACACGCTATTGCCTCATCTAGTGAAAAAGGCGAGTTCGGTTGAAGTGTGGAGTTTCCACAGCGGCGGCATGAACAGATTTAAAATGGAACATCTGCGATAGTTTCGAAATGCTAGCGCCTCTCTGCTACCGAAAGTTATATTCTTGAAGAAATCCATCGGTGTACAAAAGAAGTGAAGCAGTTGTGTTGGGTATTACTAGTAGTTACTAAAACATCAATACTCCAGTTCTACAGCACGCACATGAATAAACATCCAATTCAACGGATCTAGCAAAAATTCTTGTAGACAGTACTTCGACTGCATATGTTAAGCCTTCCATAAGGTCTGAATGGTACTTAAAGTGCTAGACGCACGTTTCGGCTTTCGTGCTTAGCCTCATCAGTAGCACACGTGTTTCGGTTCAACGGATCTCCTGCACACAAGGGAATCGGCGCCGAATATCTTACACTGCAAGCCCTGTGAAAAGATCACCTAAAATTGCACTGATAGCGATTGCCCGATGGGTGGTAAAACAAATATAGCAGTACCCCTGTATTTGACTGCTTCTTGAAACCTCTCAAAATATTAAAAAGTTCTTAAATAACGGTTGAATGGAAAGATACAGAATACTCTAACAATGGTTCTAAAAACATTGTATGTCACAAGTTCATTGAGAACGTTGAGGGCGAAGGTAGCACATATTAGAGAAGGAAGTCGAAAGCTAGTAATTCTACGAAATAAAAGAAGTTTTTCACCCCAACATTTAAGAGGGGGCGCCGTAGTCGAGTGGTTCTGATGCTCAGCTGCGCACGGGGCCGATCTCTATCCCTTTCACCCTAACACTCTCCAGTAGTCAACGAAAAAAAGCGACAGCCAGGCTATCCTCGAGATTGCAAGAAGACGTGCTCAAGCTGTATTCTACGACGTTCAAGAAGAAGACGAGAGAACAAAAACACTGTGAAGACGGATTAAATAATGTACCAATAAAACATTTAAAACACCAGTAAAATGTTGCAAAAATAAAAGTTAGCAGTGCCTCTAGAGTTATAACAGTGTCGTATTTCGTTAGCATTGCCCTGTAAATGCATTAATATCAATGCTTTTCGGATTTCATGTGTTCCGTAGGTAAGACATAATCGCAGGACGTTCCGGTGTTTATGAATGAAAAGAACGCAGTTTGTTCATAAAAATAAGTAGGTTTAGTGTTGATTCTTTACGAAAAAGTTCTTTTTTTTTTCTTGAATTTCACAACCCATAAAAGGATTTGTAGTAAAGATGAGACTTCTGACTTGCCTTCCTTGGTTAGCCGCACCATTTCGATGCATATTGAGAGTTATCACATTCACACATGTTGCTAAGCACACCATGAACAATGACGATACATAGTACATTCCTTGATATGAATTCAATGTTAAAAGATAAAATAGCACTTGACGAACATCTCCTTACCGATCAATGGCACTGCTTCTGATGTGGGTGGAATTGATTCGGTGATTGATTGTAGATAAACACCCATACTTAATAGTGTGGTGATAATCATGTTGATTTTTTCACCAGTTTCTGGTGGCATAAGAAATCCTAGCACAGCCATTGATGATATCAGAACGCATGGTATGATCTAAACCAATCCAGTAGTAGAATAGGTCAGTGTATTTCAATAAGATGACATGAGAATGTTCACTTATTGCGTACATAACTCTAAGAGGACAAGCGTACTTTGGACGTTTCGCACAAAGACATTGTTCTCGATGCGCCCGCGAAATTAAGTGACATAAAGTTTGACTCTTCATAGCCATTTTCAACCTTCCCAGCTCATTCTAAGCCGTTTTAGAATATTGTGAACCGGGAAATAAGACGATGATTTCATGAAATGAGTTTTCTGCACGTTTATTTACTACTGATTACTAAATATTTATTAATCAGACTGAAGTCTTTTTATTTTGACTGCCACTTGCAGTGGTATGATGCATTAGTATATCCAATATGTAGAGTGCTGTGCAAAAACGCTTGCGTCAGCCAAGATTCGAACCCGGATTCACTCGTTCCCGGAGCGCATGCTAACCGTTGCACTACCGCCGCTCGTTTTCATAGCACCCTTATTTACGCTACAACGCGTTGTCTGCCAACAGCCAACCGTCGACGGTATGGCGGGGCAGCCACTATAGGCATTGAACCCACTTGTGTTGACAGACATTGGACATTGATAATCAGTCTAAATTCTTTTTATTTTGACTTTGATGACGGAAAAAGTGAGATCTGGGTTCAAATCCCGGCTGACGTAAACGTTTTTGCACAACACTCCACATATTAAATATTTATTGATTTACGTGAACATAGTAATCTAAACGATCAAATGGTGGTCAAAACCGCCCTGATCCAGAGTATCGATTGTGAAAAATTGCATTTCTTACATAACTGCTAAGATATCGGTAGATTTCCTCTCTAATAAATCGTTCTAAACGGTTTTTCTTTCATGATTTCATAGAATGTTATGAAATATTGATGAAATTCCTGTCAAATTTTACAACTCTGAACTATTGTTATTCTGATTTTTTATGTTTACAATCGCAGATAATTGATGAGAGTAGCCTCACGTATTATGAACATACTCAAGACAAAAGCTGTTTCAAAGAAGATCTAATTCAGCGAAATGGTCAATCGTTGTCAAGTGAACACTATATTAATACATAATGGGAGATGCCTCAATGGCTTACTTAGCTGCACTTGGATTTTTGTGAGAATTTTGTACTCATTATACAATCTACTTGAAGAATTTCAATATAAGGATTGTTGTGCCTGGTGTAAACTGAGAACAGCTATTCGCTATAGTTAAAGAATTGTAGAATAAAAAATTTTTTCTTCCAAGCGAGTTTGTTTGTCGACCCTACCCCGCTTTTCATAGAATCCAACATACAGAGACATTTTGTCCAGACACATGACGGTAAGCCAATGCAGAGATTTGTATCTGAGTAGTTCTAGTAAAAATTTAGCGAGCTCCCGCATTGTTCTTTTCGAACAGTTTTATCCAGTTTTTTTATTCCGAAACTGATTATTCTCAAAAATGTTAGAATGTGGTATGTTAGAGAACGTTTCGGTAGTTTTAACCAGTCATTTAGAAACGACCGTAGCATCTTCGCTTGCTATCTAAATGAAACTGGCTAACGCAAAGTGATGTTTTGATGGAAACCTCAAGCACTGGACCGATTACGACCGCGCTGCACGCGTGACCATAGGCAAAAGTTTCTTTCTACGACAGCAATACGAAGATTTTTCAAGCCGGCTATCACGGAATATGAGTCCTGAGTCTATTAGAGGATAGCACGTGCCACGTCTACTGAGTGCCTAGTGGCGAAGACCCGCCAGCTCCATCGAAGCTTGAGGTTTCTGCTCGCTTGTTGTGCCCTTGGTTTCTCGGATTGGCAAGGCTTAGTGTTTGAGCTCTGCTCGACAACAAGCAGATGATCAGTGAGGATGTCTACGGGAACAACTGCGGAAATTGGCCGTAGCACTGCGAGAGAAGTGTCCAAAACGCTTTGTGCCGCCCTTTTCCAGGATAACGCTCGACCTCGCATTGCAAAGTCGACTCGCTTTTGGAGAAACTTAAATGGACTGCTGTACCACATCCACAGTATAGCGCTGATATTTTTCCATCGGATTATGGTCTCCTCCGCGGTTTGAAGCAGCATCTGCGGGGAGCCACAATCCAAAGATACATCAAAAGTGACTTTACCGACTTGATTGCCAGAGTAAATTTTTGTATGAGGAAGGCATCTAATTTTTGGCTAGAAGATGGTTGCATAACACTCACCATGATAATGATAGTATTATTGGCCGATTTTTCATGTAAACAACAACTGATTAACAAAATCTTTGAAGTGCGAATGAAATTATGGTACCACTAAATATAGTCCATCACGGAAAAATTGTTGATTGTAGTCAAAAAGTACTCAGGTATTTCACGATACTTCTCAGAAAGATAGGAGATGGTCATCTGAGTCCTTGAGCAGTTCTGCTCAATTGTGACATCCGTCAACTCATTTTTTTCAATGACAATGCATAAGTTTCCAGTAAAAGATCGCGGTCTCCTATGAATGTGTTAATTTGAATTACTCAAATCCCCTAGCGTCGAGAATGCCTTCTGATGACAGTCATGAGTTTAGATGACGCAGGAGTTTTACAAAGTCGTAACCTATAAAAAAAAAATGCTCTTTGTCGAACGCGAATATCTCGTAACATCAGAATTCGGGCGTCAGGTATCAATAACTTCTTGTCATCCTATCGAGAACGCAGCGTCGTCCCTTTACGTATTTCCTTCTCACTAGGATATCAACAGATTCTGCTCGGTAGGAGCGTTATAGTGTCCATGCGCAATTAAACAATACTTTAACCGTTTGATTACGAAAGGAACACGCCGCCACCCCGTTTCGCGGGGTGCTACAAGCAGCTCTTAGTGCTGAGTAGTTAGTGATGCTGCTGGCAACCGGGAGGAAGGCTACTGATTCAATTCCCTATCACGACACTTCACAGCATATTCTTTGGTGTCGGTTAATAATGAAGGCTTTTCTACAGATGCAGTTATTTTAACAATTTCTTTCGACGACGTAGTGTAAAAGTCGGATTCGAAAACTCTTTTCTGCAGTGTATAACTTTTAAAAAGAACCATTTGAATAGATGTAATCAATTTTACGGAAGCTGTGCGTTGGTTCCGTTGTTACTCCATAAATTAAGTATCGTATCAAAAAGGAGTGAATTGTGAAACAACTGAGTGTTTTTTTTCTATACTCACGTCTCTAGAAGAACCTTCAATGCTAATCGACACCAGAAAACAACATTAAAAGCATTCTTTAAGCGCCACAAAAGGATATTGAACCAGCAACCTCCTCCTTAGTGCCCAGCAGCTTCAATGACCACTCTCTATGAACTACTCGTCACGCGCCGCAAAGCAGGGTTAACGACGTGTCCCTGTCCTACCCACAGGGTCAAGACATCACACGATGAAATCCTCGTCGCTGCAGCGTTAGACCATTTTAATTAGTGATAAGACTTTGTGACTGTTCAAAAAGCAGAACTGCGCTAGATCTCAATGTCAAGTTATCAAAACACAATGAAGACTTCTGAATAATATATTGTCTTACAACAGAGAAAAGCTTTTCATAATGTCGTCTCAGTGCTTAACACTTTGTGTACTAGAAGGTCACGGCGCTAATCCCGTCCCGCCACGTACGCATCAAGCAGTCACTCATGCCGAGTGTTAAATGACGTTGGCCATCTGGGAGAAGGCTGCTGGTTCGATCTCCTCCTACGACGCTTCACAGCAACTTTCCTTTGTTTTTCAGTTCAATATGCACCATATCACTAGTGCGCCATATCACACTATATCTCATATGGTAATACCGTGAAACACGCCATGCATCAATTTGGGCCATTTATTCAACGATCAGTTTCGTATTAAAACTTAGAGAATTCCTAACAATTGGGCTTTTTTTATCGCTATAATAATTCCTATATAGAAGAACCTATATAGTAATCAACACCAAGAAGTCTGTGAAGCTAGGGATCAAACAAGCGATCCATATCAAATAGAGAAAAATCTTTTGTAATCGAAGCCTAACATGACACACCTGCGCTTGACAAGTCACAGATTGAATATCAAAAAGCTTCATGTAGGGAAAACGATCTGCCGAAAAGGAGATACTTAGAATGCATTTTTCCGCTCTACCTCAACAGGTATGATAGCGTACAAGGCATCGCAAAGGGTTATGTGTTAAAGATGAAACTTGCACAGATCATCAAATCGCTGACTTTTTTGATTATATCGCTGATAAGAATAGCCAAGATTCCTAACAATTCGTGAATATCTGGAAAACAAACTGATAATAATGCTCATTATTATCTTGACCATATTGGGGTGGATGGCGCAACAAATCTGATTTTGATTTCCCTTTTCATTCATTCACTAGTGTCGTTCGTCTTCATCTCCAATATATACTACTGCACCTATATGTTGAACGGCGGCAATTTTGAAAAGCGATCTCATTCGCTAGACAGGAATTTTTTGTCGGAATGTTAATAATTATTTGAAAGCTTGGAGCTTCGGTTAAAGCTCTACGTGCACGGTTTTTTCGGAACACCCTATTATAGTGATGTAAATTCCAGAATACTTTTCACACGGCCAAGTGTTTTCTCTCTTTTCTCGCTTATATTTCGCTGGACGAAAATGCTTCCTCAGAGTGCTAGTACTCATTCGACAGCACAAGATTCGACGAACTTAAAAATGCGTTTGCGATTTCAATATCGCAGTTCCACTGACTCCAACGTTGTGCGCATTTTTTGGAAATACCGTTTAGCAAGAAAAATCGATCGAGTCTTACATTTTCGACAACCTTGTTCACCGGGTAATTCACGAACCGGGGGGGGTGGGGGGGAGGGCGAGGCGATTGGTCGCGTTTGAAATATTGTTATTCATTTGGGTATTTTTAAAACCACATTGGCAGAAACTTCAAATAAAATTGTATGATTCCGATGATACGGTTAATTCTCTATACGTTGGAATGCTTCTCGTATTTCAGCAAATTAAAAGCGAGATAAAAATGAGGGCGAAGGGCGAGTGTGAAACATAATATTATTTTGGATCTCACAGCGTTATGAAAGAGTGTTTCGAAAAACCGGCGCTCTGGGGCTATAGCCAGAGATTTAGGCTTTGTGAAAAGTTGCTCTCCAGTGAATGAGAACGGTTTTTTTGAATTTGTCATTATTCAACATATAAATTCCTATTCTTCACATGGAATGTAAGTAAAACTAATTAATCTGCCAACAACATTATTTCGTCTAATAAATCATTCTTGTTGGGAATAGACTTACATGATTGAATACATAAAAAAGTGGGCGTCGATGCATCTTTATTCGGATGACGATCGTTGGCCATTTTGATCCAACATTCGAAGGGAAACTCACAATCTGTGATGGCTAGGATCTAGCTGTTTACTCAAATTTACTTTTTTACAAGTAAATGATAAATAATGATTACCTCTTTGATTGCAATCATATCGAGCAGATCGAACTCGCTGTTGTTCATGTAA